AAGACAATGCTGCAGCTCTCAGCCCAAGTGACTATGTCTTCTCTGACAACCCCTTCCCCTTTTCCCAAAGTGATGAATGCAGTCAGGGGTAAGAGGTTGACAGCCCCTTGTGTGGGCGTTGGGCAGGTTAGCTACTTACTGCACAGTTGTAGGAGTTATGATGCATGCTGGATCTCCGTAGAAAGCCTAGGTGAGTGGCGCCGCCTAGAGTTACTCAGTGCTCGGCGCACACAGCCATGCGTTGGAAGTCCATCATTCCCAGACCAAAACCTAAAGCAAAAAGGCCTCCCGATGTCACAAGCCACACAGTCAGCACAGGATTATTTCAGGTTAACAGTCGAAATGAAAGGTGCTGTGTGTGTCCCAGAGGGTCATCTAGATCTAGTCAGTTCCTAGTTTCCAGTTGTCATTTTTTTTTCCCACTTGACACAAACTAACGTTATGGAGGATGAAGAACCTCAACTGAGAAAATGCCTCTGTAGGCAGGCCTGTGGGCATTTTCTTATTTAATGATTGATGTGGGAGGAGCCAGCCTATTGTGATGGACAGCAAGCCAGTGAGCAGCGCTCCTCTATGGCCTCTGCTTCAGCTCCAGCCTCAAGTTGGCTTCCCTCAGCAGACTGTGACCCAGGGTATGTAAGCCAAATAAACCCTTTCCTCCCCAGGTTGCTTTTGGTCATGGTGTTTTATCATAGCAACAGAAACCGTAACTAAGACACAAGTTCATGAATCTCATCATCAGGAGGTATCCTCAAATAGTAGGGCAGGCCAGAAGTACCCAGAAGGTCAGATTCCTAAGACTGACGCTCTACCAATTCTCAACAAGAACTGGTCAATAAGCATGCAAACCACCACCACCACCACCCACCCACCCACCCCTACCCCCGAATTACAAGACAGAGACAGGAAGTTAAAATATACCAGTTGCTTTGAGAAAAGGAAAATAATAGACCTGGTGCCTAATTTTTTACATTGATTATACACCAAGAGGATAATATCACGGGTGTTTGGGTTACATGCAATGCATTATTTAAGTTAATCTCATCTGGAAGGTGTAAAGAAAATGTGGAGTGTGTACATAATCCAATTTGATTTGGCTGTAAAGAAAAATGCAACCACACCATTTGCAGAAAGCTGGATAAAACTGGATGTCATCGTGTCAAGGGAAATGAACCTAGGAAAGACAAATACTGTGTTTTCTTTCATATGCAGAATCTAGACTGAAGTATATGCTCATGCATGCGTGTGTGTGTGTGTGTGTGTGTGTGTGTGTGTGTGAGAGAGAGAGAGAGAGAGAGAGAGAGAGAGAGAGAGAGAGAGAGAGAGATGGGAACAGAAAGGGGACTGTTTGCTAGAGGGGCGAGACTAGCAAAGAAGTGTAGTTGGGCGAGTGAATCAGATCAGGGGACCGGGATGATATGTATGAAAATGGCACCATGAGACACACTGTTTTGCACACTGCCTGAAAAAGAACACAAATATTCAAGAAGCAAAAAAGCTACACTTCACCTTATTCTTTTTTTTTTTTTTTTTTTTTTTTTTTTTTTTACTGTTTTAATGTGGCTACTCGAAAACCTGAATTGCACACAAGGGCTGCATCATTTCTCTCCGAGAGAGCAATGTCAGAGGGTCACTGTAGGACCACGCCCACTTCCCACAGTGGTCATTCACTGTCATGCCTGTATCCTCTCCTTCCTTCTTGGGTCTCGCTATTTGACTCCCTTATCATGTTACAGGGACCACCTCCAAGATCAGTTAGCTGGACCCCACCTTGAGTCAAAGCATGCTTTGGGGTGACCTAAACTAAGACACAGATCTTCTACGTATAGGGACATATTGGTTTAAATATTAAGGCCACTCCACGTAGTTAAAAAGGGAGGTTTATTTTGTGGGGTAACTTACAAGTGAATGGATAGGTAACAGGGTCTGGGAAAGGTGTAGCGCAGTCCGGCGGTGTTCTCTGGAGAACTCTGCCCGGTCTACCTCCGTGTCCAGGATCCAGGAACCAAGAGAGCTGGCCCATTCGGATCTCAGGTCTTCAGGGTCCTCTCTCGGCTCCGCCTTATAGGTGTGACAGTTACCAAAGCCTCAATGGAGGTGGTACTTCCAGGTCAAAGCTGAACCAGCTACCCACTACAGGGACACGTGTTGATTTGTATCTGTCTGTAGAGTCCATTTGCATATGATTCGGTGGGGGGGGGGATAAATAGTAGCACTGAAGGTTAAAGGTCAGGCTTAAATAGTAGAACAGGAAGTGTGAAGGATGACCTGCAGTGCACCTAGTACAGACAAATGGAATTAGCAGAGAGGGTATGGGCCCAGAATGGGTTTCTGCTCAGTCCCATGATCCCTCAGTGCTGTCCAGCTTGGTGCCTAAAGACAAGTGAGAAGTGTGTACCTGAAGCAAGGGCCAAGACCCTGGCACTGACCCAGATGTGAAGCTCAGCCCTGTGTCTTACTTTGTGCTGAGTACTCTTGAAATAGCAATGTGTGTGTGTGTGTGTGTGTTTGTGTGTGTGTGTGTGTGTGTGTGTGTGCTGAGTGAGTAGAGGCTAGACCCAATTCTCTCCAGCCACTCACCCTCCATGTGAACCAGGCTGGCTGCAGGAAGTAGATGCAGCCTGTTTCAGGGAACCCAAACAAGGCATGCTCCCTCCAATGGGATCATATGCCCTATCTGCTCCAGGCTGGCACTACACTTCCTGAGACGGTGATGAGAGGCTGTGCCATCAACACAGGATGACACATACGTGCTCCAGGGGCACAGCCAGCTGCTTGTCAGGTCCCTAGAACTGCTAACACTGTAACGTGTGGGGCAAACAGCAAATGGTCAAGAGCTCTCAGGAGGGGCCCATGCACACCACCACTGGCCAATCCTTAAAGGAGGCAGTTCGAGAAGCCAAGGAAATCGGTACATGTTCTAAAAGAGACAACATTGTAGCAGAATGACCCCTTCTTCCTTTTAAGATTAATTTATTTGATTTTATAGGCATGAGTGTTTTGCTTACATGTATGTGTGTGAACCATAGGCATGTCTGGTGCCCAGAGTGGTGAGAAGAGTCCACCAGATCCTCTGGAACTAGAGTTATGGTTGTGAGTAGCCATGTGGGTGCTGGGAATCAAACCTGGGATCTCTGCAAGAACAATAAGTGGTCTGGGCTGTTGAGCCATCTCTCTAGCACCTTTTCTCATTCCTTAATCCCATTTCTAGAAATAAATAGTAGTTTAACAGTAAAAGTTAGGACAGGTGAGACTGTTTCAATAAACAAACAAGCAAGCAAAGGTCCTGAGTCAGCTAGACTTTGAAATAGTATGTCACATGCCATGTAATGATGTCCAGTTCAATGACAGACCATAAATAGAACTGTGGTCTCCTAGTGTGCAAATGTAACGGAAAACTTTCCAATCTGTAGAGGCACACAACCCTCCCACACCTGAGGAGCATGGAGGAGCTTGGTGAGGCAGTTGGTGGATGCTCAGGGAAGAAGAGTCAGTTTTGTTTAGGAGTGTGGCGCTTTCTAGGTTGACCACACTCGTGTGGATGGCCCTACATTGGTGTGCTTATGAGCATCACTAATTAAAGCCAGTGGGTTATAAAAAAAATAAGAGAACATGAAGTTGGGAAGGGGATGTCAGAGGGATCTGGGAGGAGTTAAAAGGAAGGCATGAGGGTAAATATGATCAAAATATATTGCATATATACATGAAATTCTCAAGGAATAAATTTAAGAAATTAAAAATAATATATACATCCTATCATCTAGAGACACTGTAACAGTGCATTACTCATGGTTTGTGTCAGAACTGTGTTACGTACACACTCAGGACACAGGATCCTGCACAGTGTGTAACAGCAGAAAAACCACCTTGTTGAGTGACAGGTGACTGTCCCCTGCAGAAGATCAAATTCAAGAAAGAGTGTGTGGTGCTGTCCGAGGTACCAAGGGCAGTCTGGCGGCTTTACACAGAGCCAGTGTTTTGCCCTGGATAGGCAGGTGGTGGTCACAGTACATACCAGTGAAAATGTATGTTAAAAATAACACTTCTTTCATTTGCTCTTTCAAACACTCTGTTCTGGTTTAAAGCCTTTTTTTTTTTTAAATATGTAGAATCGGGGAATAAAGGTCTCTCATCAACACAGCTCAAACGGCTGTCAGAAACACTTTGTCCCACTGATGCTCTTTCTAACTATCCAGGAAACTCTCTCCTGCTCCAGTGTAGAAGTTCAAAGTCGGAGGTCTACAAGGACCAGCGGGAAAAGTTGGCGGCTGTAGTGTGGCAGTTTTAAGTACTGAGATGGCCCTGGGGGGAGGACACAGATGTTGTGGTGGAGACACACTAAAAGCATAGCAACCTCAGTCAAGAGGGGAAACTGCCCTTGTGCCCATCCAGGTGCCCAGTAAGACAGCCAGGTCCCACACGGGTGTTTTCGTAACTCAAGAGAAACTTTAAAAAAATCTCATTGCACCGGGCGGCAGCGGCGGCGCACGCCTTTAATCCCAGCACTCCAGAGGCAGAGCCAGGCAGATCTCTGTGAATTCAAGGCCAGCCTGGGCTGCAGAGCAAGATACAAGACAGCCACCAAAACTACACAGAGAAACCCTGTCTCGAAGAAAAAAAAATCTCATTGTTAAATTTTTAAAAGTTAGTTCAATCTTTACAATGCGCAATGTAAGCCAAAGTGAGTTTCCCACACTTCTACTTGGCAACCTGTTTCATAAAGACTTGTGATCTCGAACACTGATAGCTGCAAGATGTCAAGTAGGTATTCTTCCCATTTCTGATGGGGAAACTGAGGTACAAAACAAGAGTTAAGATTTTAGACTCCTGGGCCAGGGAGATGGCTCAGCAGATAAAAGGAGCTTGCGGCTAAACATGACCAACTGAGTCCTCTAACTACACAACGGAAGGAGAGAACAGATTCCCACAAGTTGCCCTCTTTACGTGTACTCAGAGGCATGCACATGCCCCTACACAAACATCTATGCACACGCAATAAATAAATAATTAAGTAAATGAATGTAATGTTTTAAAGATTTCAAATTATCTGGAGGAGTGTACAGCGGGACTCTGGTTGTCTGTCACCAAGTACAGCTACCTGTTTGGCAATCTGTTGCCTTGCAAATGCTTGGAAAGGAAACTCAATCTAGAAAAGAAATGTTTCACGGATTGAGAAAAGTTCCTGATGGACGTGCATCATAACAGCTGCTGGGCAGATGTCGGTCAGTGTGTTTCATGGTTCGTTATGAAAGCGGTAGGATATAATGACTTTAATCAAATCAGCTTTGAATGTACTAACAAGCAGCATGCTGGCCATACGGTGTTCTCAGGCTCAGTTTAATTATCTGTAAAAAGAAAAACAACAACAAGAAAAATAATATAACAACACTTGCTAGGGAGATCTGTGCTAACATACTGTACCTCATCCATATGTATATAATATGTATATTATATGTATATGTATATACAGATCATGATGTATATATGCTATATCAGTTGATACAGAAGATATAAAGACATACAGCCATCCCTCTGTATCTATTACTATGGATCAGGCAGCTACAAATTGCATGCTTCGTCATTAAGCCTACAATAGTCACAACAGTAGTATGTGTACACGCTCGTGTGCAGACTGATTTCTTGCCATTGTCACCTAAGCAGGACATTACAACAACACTTTACTCATCATTTACCTTGCTTTAGGTGCTATAAGTAACCAGGGATGACTGAAAGTCTACAGTAAGATGTGCACAGGTGTATTCATGCACTATTCCATTTGAGATGAGATGTGAGCATCTGTGGAGTTGGGAACCCCTGGGGCAAGGGACACCTAGAACAAGTCACCTGCAGAAGCTGAGGGACAACTGTATTCACATTTCTATAATGTCCACGATCATCATGATATGACAATGACAGAAGACTATAAGGGAATCAGGAAAGGTTGAATGAATGAGTCACAAGTTTGGGAAGCTACCTGGATTGAACTGGAATCTAGTTCTGCTACTTACCAGCCAGCTACCCAGGAATATTTAAACTCTTTGATCAATAATGCCTATGCCTTTGTGAGCAGTTTTAAAGATTAAATATAATAATTGGGTATCATGGTATGCCAGGCACTATCGCAAGTCTCTCACAGCTTTTGTGCATTTGATGCATGCAGCAGGCTCAGCATTGAATGGACTCTAGTCTGTGCTCAGCAAACAGTGGAGAGTGTTGCTATTAACGTCACTCAGGAGACTTTGTGAGCATAATGGAGTAAATGGCGGGGTAAAGGTGTAATTAAGTAGGTTAATCAAAGACTTCGGCGTACATGAAGAAAATATTGGGTAACAGGCAAGAGCCAAAAGATGAAAAGCCAAAACAAAACACAGTTGTGGAGGCTGCAGGCTCCAAACACACAAAATAAAAGGGGAAAACACCCAGATTCTAGTTTAGTTTCTTCTGGAAAGACCATTTTCAGTCTGTTCTCGGTATCTGAGGTTAGTGATAGCTTACCCAACCAGAAGTCAAAGATGTGCTCAACACATCACAGTCGTTGCTAGTGACTACCAGGAATGCTGTGGGAAAGGATTATGAGTTGAGCACATTCCTGTAATCTCAACACAAAGGATGTGGAGTCAGGAGGATCAGAAATTCAAGGTCATCCTTGACCACAAAGCAAATCGAAGGCCAACCTGGTTTAATGAGATTTTTGTCTCAAAATCAAATAGTAAAGTAATTCTGAGATCTCACATCTGAGCTTAAAGAGAATGAGTGGCATGATTGATTAGTAATGTCTGCCTTGGGCGGAGTAAGGAGAAAAGTCACAAACATACATCATGATATGATAGCCATCCCTAAAACCTTATCACATGAGGGATGTTAGGAAGGAAACAACTGAAATAATTCGCTACCCTAAATAAATTCTGTAATACAAAATATAATTATCTTCAAGATGTTACAATCAAGTACATATTTTCAGTAAGAGCTTGGTCTCTTTAATAACAGACACAACACATCCAAAATAGCTTTTCTCGCTGTGGCAGTGGGGGCGTGAACTAGGCCACCCCTGAATTCCTCTCAGTCCTGCACTTTCAGGGCAGTGTGACCATGCTGTCCCAGCTGTGTTCCTGGTAGCTCAGCCTTTCCCAGCAGCTTTGCTTTGAAGATGCCATGAATATTTAAATATACTCTAGGCGAAGCATTTTTCACGATTCTCAATTTTCCCACAGACCAGAGGTGGTTTTTATTTGTACAAAGTTCATTTTTGAGATGTGTGGAGAGCATATAGATGCATTTGAACCCACGGGCATCGTGTTAGATACACACATTCAGACCTTCAGGTCACGTGCATATAAATTCCTTCCCTCAGCTCTTGACTCTCAGCTCTGAGGTCAAAGTCGCCAGATGAAGGCCATTGGCGTAACTTCTGGGTCCAAATTAGTAGCTTTGAAATAAGTTTGTGTACTGAATCCTTGGAAACGATCTACTCATGCTTCTTCTGCTGTGATTCATAGGCCATGACCTCAGGACCACGTGACTGAGAACAGCCAATGTCCCTCCCCCTCAGCTATCTTGATGAGCAAGGGGCTGAATGAGTCACAGGGGGTCTGGAGGGGAACAGGTAATTAAGGAATTAAAAGGTTGAGGTAGGGCATTGGTTAAACACATATATCTGTTTTTCTCTTTTTTTGTGTGTGTGTGAAATCTCACTAAAACGAATGTAAAGTTATAAAAGAGATCTTTTATAACTAGAATGAAGGGGGCCGAAAAGGAAAAAATCAATTCTAGAATCTAAAAGCGACTATTAAAAGCACAACCGAATCTTCAGCGGACAGGGTGGCAAGCTGAGAAGGTTCCAAGACCATCTAGAAATATAAGTATGGGAGGCCAGGAGCAGCACTATGCAAAGCAGATGCATAGCGTGTGTGAGGCCCTGGGATCAACATCCAGAGCAAAGCAAAAGGGGGGGGGGTGCTGGGCAGATGCTTCATCAGAGCGTGTACTGCTCTTGCACAGGATGGGAGTTCAGTTTCCAACACTCCAACACATTGGGAAGGGGGTGCTCACAACCACCTATAACTGCAGCTCCAGAGGATCCAATGTCCTCTTCTAGTGACTATGCGCACCTGTATGTACACACACACACACACACACACACACACACACACACACACACACACATAAAAATAAAGTAAATCTTTAAACAAAAGAAAGGGCCAGGCATGATGGTGTGAAGTTTTAAACCCAGCACTCGGAAGGGCGAGGCAGGCAGATCTCTGTAAGTTCGAGACCAGTCTGGTCTATAAAACTGAGTTCCAGAATAGGCAAGGCTGTTACACAGAGAAACCCTGCCTCGAAAAGAAGGAGGAGAAAGAGAAAGGGAGAAGAGAGAGAAAAGAAGTGGAGGTTAAAAATGGTTTCTAGGGGCTGGAGAGATGGCTTAGTTGTTAAGAGCACTGACTGCTCTTCCAAAGGACCCAGGTTCAATCCCCACCACCCACATGGCAGCTCACAACCGTCTGTAACTCCAGTTCCAGGGGATCTGACACCCTCACACAGACAAACACACAGGCAAAACACCAATGCACATTTTTTAAAAAGTGGTTTCTAGAAATTGTTTCAATGGAAGTAAAAAAAAAACTCAGAAAATAAACTGGCAAGCTCTCTCAGAACATGGAATAATAAGTCAAAGGGAAAGAAAATATTAAATGACGTGAAATGTAACGATTGATACAAGTATCCTATCTGGGAAGAGAATCTCAGTGAGGGGTTTCCTAAACCTGTGAGCATGGCAGCTAGGGACTGTCTTGATGAAGTTACTTGATATAGGAAGACATGCCCACCATGGGTGGCAGCATTCCCTGGGTCTGGGTCCCAGGCTGTTTAAGAGTGGAGAAACAGCTGAGCAGTAGGCATGCATCATCCATCTCTCTCTGCTCTTGGCTGTGGATGTCACGTAAGTGGGTGCTTCATGTTCCTGTGGCCTCTGACATCCATACAGCGGTGGACTGTCAATGATCTAGAATTTGGGGCTAAAATTAGCCTTTTCTCACTTAGGTTGTTTTGTGTCGGAGTATCGTATCACAGCAACAGAGATTAAACTGGGACACCCCTGCTCGCCTGGAACACACAGTTCTCCTGCCTTGGGCTCTGGGGTGACAGTTCAGAGCGGTTATAGCTCCCCCAGAAGAAGGTGGGGTGCCTTTAAGAAGAGCACAGTTCGGTGACCATGGCCCAGGGCCACTCAGGTGGCAGGGGGTCCCACAATGAAGAAGTGACCGGGGCTAGAGGATCCATTTCCAAAGCAAATGACTGGGTCCTTACTGCTCTTGATGAGGAGCCTCCGTTCCAAGCTGAACACCAACTGGAGACCTTGGTTCCTTGACATGGGTGCCTCTGAGTCCTATTTAACATGGGAGCATACGCTCCCAGAGCAAGTGACCCAAGCCAAGGCAGAGGCCCTTGAGATCTCAACCTCAGAAACAATCCCATCATTTCCGGGCTAACAAGAGAGCTGATGGTGCAAGGGTGTAGCTGCCATCTTGCAAGTTGGCCCCACATGCATACATACGGTTGTCCTTCAGTGTTATGGAAGCATTGGCTATACGACATCCCCCCAGCCCCCACCAGATGCCAGAATCTGTGGTGACCCAAGACCCTGGTATAATTAGCATAGCATTTGCATATAACCTCCACACATCCTCCAGTCTGTTCTCAATCACTTCACAGTTGCTTAGAATACTAGACACAAGGAGCAAGCTAGTTAAATACTTACTATGTTGTTTGAGGGCCAGGATACCAAGACTGCACAAAGCCTAACAACTACCTTCTCCCCTTGCGGTTCAGGGTGGACCGCGGATTCCATGGATATAGAGGCTACTGTATTCCCAGGACATAAAGGAAATACATTAAAAAACACAAGTTCCTAGAACTGGGACATTTCTAACAGCTCAGTACCACGGGCACACACCAAGGCCAATCGTTGTAAGGTTTCAAGATACTGAGTCCTTTAAGCTCCTGGAGACGTGACAAAGTCAGGCCAAAACGGCTGATAATTGGGATGGATTCTGACTTCTTGAGGAAATCCTGGAAGCCGTAAGCATTGCCTTCAAATCCTAAAGGTAAATGGCTCCCAGGCTAAAATTAAACCGGCCGGAACGGATAGCACTGGAGAGGCACGGGCCAGATTTTAAAAGCTGAAGATGGATTCGAAGTACGCACCCCCCCCCCCCCCCCCCCCGATGACTCAGGAGCACAAAGGACTTCTAGAAATGGAAGGGAAGGAGAGCAGAGCTCAGAGAAACACACGGAGCGTTAAGCTGGTATGAGGCTTTTCAGTTCTCCAAACCTGAGACTGTCCCCC